AGGTGGCAGCACCCATCCATCTTCTCTATTGAAATTTGGATGTTTTTTAATTTGTAAAAAGTTGTTACGAACGGTGATTCAGCAGAAACGGTTCGATTTACATTTCATAAACAACACCATAGACAATTTGTTCAGTGAACTAAAGACAGTTTTAACGACATTTGATTTTAATAATTGCATCGAAACTTTAAACAAACGATAAACAGCAAAATACAATGAATGCAAAAATAAACAAATAGAAAAATACCAAAAATTAACGATCAAATCAAATGCCAACCATCTAAGTCAACGTCAGAACGAAACACAACCGTTGACCACAGACGCAAACAATAAACAACGCACGCTCTATAATCTGTCAAAACATACACTGGACGAACCAACAATAAAGGTGTTAGCGAAGGGAATGAAATTCGCATTAATAAAAACACTCACGCCTGTCACCCAGAGGGGTAGGCAGAGACTACAGACTTCCATTTAGCACGATCCTGACATACCTTTCTCGCCTATTCCACATCCATATACCTACGCATACATGCTCGTCGGTTAAGGGTACTCTTAATTTGGCCCATTTTTAGTATATCGCCAATTTGGTCGTCAAACTTCCGCCGAGGACGTCCCTTTCCGACTCTTCCATTCACTTCTGCAACATATATTTGCTTTTTCAGTCTTTCCGCATTCATTCTTTCTACATGACCAAACCACCGAAGCATTCCTTTCTTAATCCTGATCACCGCATCATCTTGCAAACCACACTCTTCTTTTATCACACAGTTTCTCACCCTGTCACTCAGATTCAGCCCTAACATACTGCTTAGCGACCGCATTTCTACTGCATTTATTCTACTCTCGTGCTTCTTCTGCCACACCCAACTTTCACTACCATACGTTAAAGTAGGGACTAATACAGCACTGTGAATTGCCATACGTGCCTTTTTTGACACATTCTGACTTTTCACAATAGAGTGTAGAGCCCCATTTACTTTATTTCCTGCATTCACTCGTCGTTAAATATCCTTATCATATCTCCCATCCCTGCTGAATACACATCCCAAATATACGAACTCATCCACTTGCTCAATTAACTCTCCTTCTATTCTTATTTCACATACCGTCTTACTTGCGTTCACTTTCATTCCCCCTTTCTTTTAATGACCTGTTCATTAATGTAACCATAATTTGCAACTCGGCCGCCGACGACGCAAGTATGACTTGATCATCGGCGTACAAAAGGCATTTGATGGTTAACTCACCCATCCTTAACCCGCATTCTTCAACTTTCAAATTTTCCAAACAGCTGTCCATAAATAGGTTGAACAGCCACGGGGAAGCTACACAGCCCTGTCTGACACCTTTATGGATGCCAAACCAGTCCGAGTAGACCCAGTTGATTCTAACACAAGCACTCGAGTCCCTATAAGAGACTTTAATGCCTGTATCAAACCAGCGCTCAACCTAAATGCGTTCAACGTTTGCCATAACACATCCCTGTCCACTCTGTCATAAGCCTTTTCCAAGTCCATAAACGCGCAAAAAACTTTTTTGGTTTTTCGCCAAAAACTTCTCCGCGATCATGCGCATGGAAAAGACTTGATCTGTACACCCCATTCCCTTTCTAAATCCCGCTTGCACATCCCAAATTTTTTCATCAGTTTCTTTCATAACTCTTTCAATTAGTACCTTAGCATACAGTTTTCCCACAATGCTAAGAAGGCTGATACCACGGTAGTTTTTACAGTCCTGCTGTGACCCTTTTCCCTTATATATTGGAACTATCACGGCTTTGCACCAGTCTCCCGGTACCCGCTTTAGTTCCCAACATAAATTAAACAAGGTGTACAGCAGGCCTGCCACCACGTCCTCTCTAGCCATTAGCATTTCGAGTGAAACTCTATCATATCCGGCTGCCTTACCTACTTTCATGCTTTTCATTACTTTCATTATTTCATCTATACTTATCTCCCTATCTTTTTCATCTTCTTTCGGAATTTCTATTTCATTTAGTTCACACTTCTCCTCACTCATAAATTCGCTTTCAAAATATTCCTTCCATCTCTTTAGACTCAACACTTCATCATTCAGGATACAGCCATTCTCGTGTCGTATCGCATTCAATCTAGGCTGTATTGAAAGTCCCCTGGTATTTCTTACGAGTTTCCAGAACATTTTAATATTTGCCTGGAAGTTATCCGATATTCTTCTATCATTCCTATCCGTTCTTTCTTGCTTTTTCCTTTCAAAAAAAAGCAAGAAAGAACGCGTAGGAATGATAAAAGAATATCGGATAACTTCCAGGCAAATATTTTCATTTCACAATATTTTCATTCGCATTAACACCGCGAAAAATCCCGTACGAAGAAATTATCTGCAGCGTTGAGGATTGTCTGTTTAAAAATAATATTGGTAAGGAAGATTTGGAGGCTATATGTCAAGATATTTCGTCCTTGTTACGTCGTAGTTCAGTGCCGAAACCAAACCTTCCTAAAGACGAATTTACAGCGTTGATTAACTTACGGAACAGACCAGATCTAACGATTCTCCGCGCGGATAAAGGAAATGCTACGGTAATAATGGACACGTCAGAGTATAATTTTAAAATACTACAGCTTTTATCGGACGAAAGTACACACAAAAAGGTCAAAACAGACCCCACAACTAACACGCTTAAAGCAACTAGCGATTTAATAAAGAAACACTCCGAAAAATTAAATCTCGATGTGAATCCCCCTAATACCATCATGTACCAAACCACCGAGGTTGTATGGGTTACCAAAGATACACAAACCAAACGCTCCACTACGTCCTATAGTGAGCCAGATCGATTCACCAACTTATAAGCTGGCACAACACTTGGCAAAAGTACTGTCACCACTGAGAGGACATACCAGAGCACACACAAAGGATTCATACCACTTTGTTAGTGAGATAAAAGATCTACATCTCGCTGACAATGAAACTATGGTCAGTTTTGAAGTTCAGTCACTATTCACATGCCTACCTATTGAAGACTGCATATCAATTGTAACTAGGAAGCTAGAATATAATAACATGCCTGCTGAATATGCAGTATTACTCAAACACTGCCTCACATCTGGCTATCTATTGTGGAAGGAAGAGTTCTACAAGCAAGTAGATGGTGTGGCGATGGGCTCACCTGTATCTCCCATAGTCGCTGACATATTCATGGTGGACTTCGAGGAGAAAGCCCTTCTTACTGATCCTGTTAATCCAAGATTCTACAAGCGGTACGTAGACGACACTTTCACAATTTTACCATCTGACAAAGTAACTGCATTTTTAAACCACCTTAACTCTATAAACTCTAAAATACAATTCACAATGGAGTTAGAGGCAAATAATTCTTTAGCTCTCTTAGATGTTTTAGTCATTCGAAATCCTAATAACACAATTGGTCACACTGTGTATAGAAAAAAGACCCATAGCAACCGATATTTAAATGGTGAATCTCACCATCATCCTTCACAGTTAGCTACCGTGGGTAAATCTTTGCTTCAGAGAGCACGAGGGATCTGTGACAGAAAACATCTGGCCGCCGAACTTCAGCACGTCAAGCAAGTATTGCAAGACAACAAGCTTCGGGTCCCGCGCCTACGTCACAGTGACCGAGTGAAGCCGGCCACAGTCGAGCGTGTACCTGCTGTACTACCATATGTCAGAGGAGTCACAGACAAGGTTGGCTACATCTTGAAGCGAGCTTCTATTAAAACATACTACAAGCCGCCGAAGAAGATTAGTCAATTTTTACCATCCGTCAAGTGTAATATCCCTCTACAAGATGCAGGAGTGTACAAGTTAGATTGTGAATGTGGTCTCTCTTACATAGATCAAACAAAAAGATCCATAAAAACCCGCGTGAAAGAACATATAGCTGACGTGAAGCACCGACGCTCCGGGAAGTCTGCAGTCTGCGATCATGTTCAAGATCGTCCCCACCATTACATTCGTTTTGATAAACCACAAATTCTCGCAAAAGAACACCGATTCCTACCAAGGATGATACGCGAGGCTATTGAAATTAAAAAACATCCAAATTTCAATAGAGAAGATGGATGGGTGCTGCCACCTGCTTGGGATCCTATAATTAACAAAATTAAACCCAAACCTAAGCATACCACTGCAAGACTTCATGATACTATAAGCTCGTTTTGCGTAAATCGGACCAAAAATTAATATTCAAAAACTGAAGGTAGCCGGACTAACTATGACATTGGGACGTCAAACATCTCAGTCCCCCCCCGTGACCATGGTTGCTGTAAAGCACCCGAAACGTCGGGAATTAAAAATAAGTAAAAGTAGTGAAATAAACGCGATAAAATCCGTAAATTTAGTTTTATTCAATATTTTACACACTCTGTTTTTTTTACCATTTATCTCGAAATGGAATGCATTCTTTGGTTTTCTGCTGCTATTAAGTCTTTTGTACTGATACTTAGGAAATACGTTAACTAAATTATTAGCTATATAATCTCTTTGACGTGTTAGTAAGCCCAGATTCCAAAACGAGTCAAATAATCTTTTGCGGTCATTTTCAGCAATAATATCACGACATTTAAGCCGACACTTTTCATTACAGGGTCCTCTCATCACCCTTTCTGCAACAATTTTTGATGATGTAGATACGTATGATTGTCCTCGATTTCTTCGAGTCTGAGCTGTCTTTTTTTATTAATTCGTCTGATTTTTTTTCGACTATTCCTATTGCCTTCTTCTACAACAGGGTTCAATATGTTAACACTGGCTAGCCCAGGAACTGACGTTAGATTATTAGATTCTAAGGAATGCGTCACAGTACTATGCCCATCTTCATTGCAGTCATTTCTGATAGTAGTAGGTTGGATTGTAGAGATTTTGTCTACAGCGGCAGAAGCCAATGACGCCAACGATGGACACTGGTGATTTCTCGTCGAAGAACATTCAGAAGAAGAACTCGACGAAGACGAAGAACTTGACGAGGAAGAGGAACTAGACGAAGAATTGCTCGATTATGAATCTGAAGAAGAAGAAGAGTCTGATCGTCGACGGTTTGCAGTGGATGGTTTTAATGTTAAGTAACTTGGGTCATCGTCTGAAGCAGGTGAAAAATCACGTGGAGATGCACGACTGGAGGTATATGACCTGGAATTTCTTCTTTCTGCCTGAAGTTGTTCATTTGGAGGCAAGTTTTCATCCACGTGAAGTGGTTCCTCCTAAAATAAGTAATTATTTTAAATAACACAATAAGTTAAAGAAATTCATCTCATAACTCATGCAGTGAAGAAGAACAAGGAAAAGACAATAAGCTTTTTTAGTTATTAACCGCTTATTGTTTCAAATAGTGGTAAGGTAAGTAGTGTATTCTGAATAGTATTCTTAGTTTGATATTATAAGGTAAGAATCTCCTACTGTTTTAGGTAAGGTAATAAGAAACCTGTTCAGCTTTCTGGTGATCTTTAGGTGTGATTTCTTGGGGAGGCACAATATTACATCCAAGATTGTGTTTAAAAATATCTTCATTTGCATTTTGGTTAACGTCTTCTTCATTGCGAGTTGATTCACAATGATTTTTGGAGGTCTGGTGTGTCGGTGTATTTGCGCTTTCTAAATGAACAGGTTCATTCTGGATACCATGACACGTTCTTTTTTCGAATTCTTCTTTATCATCTTGTGTGTTCTCAAACAGTCTTCTAGAAATATTCTTGAGTTTGTTTATTCTCGCATTTTGCAAAAGCATTTTAAGTCCGAAAACAAGCAAATTATGGTCAAAATTACTAAAAGGATGATCATTTAATTAATTGACTTTAGAAGCATTAAATTATATGAATAACCAATATTAAAATATCCCAATTAATAATGACTCTAAACAAAATTCTTTGTTGGTTTCAGTGATATTTTCCGTGCTTGCTATTTGGCTTAAAAGGAAGAATGACACAAAAAAATGACATCCTGAATTAATCATCAACTGAAATGTTTCAAATTCTGTAACGCGAAGTGACACTAAATAAAAAATGTCAGTATGTTGTTCCAATTGAATACAAACCCTCTATTTGGCTTAAGGGAAGAATGACACTAAACGAATAATGACATCCCGAATCAATAATCGACTCAAATACTTTAAATTCCGTAACACGAAGAGCGACACTAAATAAAAAATGACAGTATGTCGTCCTAACATAGCAATTTTTACAAAATAATATAGCATAATACACGACACTTATCAAAATGTGACGGTATTCGTATTAAAGTTAATTCGTACTTACGAAATATGGTCAATCCAAATCGCCTTTAACCAGAAAATGTCACTATGGAATACACTAGATGAAACCGTTTTTGTTAACTTCACAGTCACGAATGAAAAAATGGCGGTCTGTCATAACAGATCGTCTCAATATTGTTGATAAAGCAGTTCGACACTAACGCCATTCACCGATGAATATTATAGTTACAACGACAGGTGTTTTTGCAAAAAAATAGTATCTTTGCGCGCTAAGAGATGGCACTCCTAAGAGAAAAACATCATTTTTCGTATAGTGACGGTCTTCTTATCAATGTGCGAAATGGATCACACACAATAAAGTCAGAGAAAACATGTAAACGAACTACTAAATAGCTTTTTTAGGTTGTTTAGTTTAGCTTACCTATGCATACATGTTATAAACACACAAAATATTAGAAGATAATTTTGTATACTCCAGGCTTATGTGAAATCATCATCTATGTATAATTAAAGTGCCATATCCTAGATCCTCAAATCCCAACACTTTACGTAATAATATTTTGAGCCCATTAATCGATTATAAAGTATATGAAGAATTTATTTTTGATTGTCAGTTTAATTAAGGCAGGCTTAGTTGATATAAGCTATATTAAATTTAAATTACTTGAGAAAAATTGGTTTGTTGGTTATACTCGACTGTAGCCTGAAATAAATCTGGTTCCAATAAAGTCCTTAATATTGAACCCAACCGCTCTAGTGACATAAATAGGTAAGACGGTCCAGACAAGCTGCTAGGCAGAAAACAAACCTTTTCTAGATTCCGTTTATTCGTTAGATTTTTTATAATATATAATTCATTTTATGTATATTATATATTGTAGATATTACCCATAATCTATAACTGTACAAAAATATAATGTATACTGACCAGTGATCAGCAATTCAATACCGTCTCCTTTATATGATTAGTTTCAAAATAGTTCTCCACAGGACAGTCTTTTGATACAAACAGGCTACTTGACAACCGCACGGACACCCGCTTCCGTTCACATCGGAAACTACTTTATTGTTCCTCTTCGGATAGTTTGGCAGTATTTGCGGAAGTCTTTTCCGTCTTCGGAGTAATAAATACATAGAATTTATAAAATATCTAAAGAATGAAATATCTGTTTAACTATCGAATAGTTTTTATTATATATTATATTTTTATACGTGGTAGAGCCAGGCTGCAGCTACATTCTGGTTGCAGCACGAATGATTCAGTAAAATAGCAGCTTAATACTACTGTGTTTCGTAAAGTGAGTGTAGAGATCCGGAGAGCTTTTTATACTGGCAACGAGGCATTCCATCTAAGATCTCAGGGTTGACAACGCATATGTGTTTTGATTCTAAATCGAGGATAAATGAAGATGTCCATGGGCTACAGCGTCCATTTACCATCAGGTGGAATGTGTACTCACTTGTCGCCCATATTTTATACAAAAAATATGTCATTTATCTCATGAACAGCTATCCAATCGATTTATTGAACTATGTCAGCGCTAACTACTGTAAGGTAAAATAAAAAATATTGCATAAGCAAATAGAAGAGTATAAACTATTTTTATTTTTTGTAAATCAAAACTTCATTATCAAATATCAAGTGTCAGTTTATGTCCGAGCTTATGTTTTCCTGGTTATTGTTCGTGTGGTTTGTTTTAAACTCCTCTTATTTTGTTTGTAATTCCATATATTCCAATTTATATTGTAAAGAAAATAAAGCGTTTTGCGATTTTTAATACTGCTTAGATTCAAACCAAGTATCTATTCGTAACAACGTCATTTACTGTAACTATAAACGATACAAAACTTATTTTATATTTGATTTTGTCTCTAATCGTGGGAATGAAAGGTTACGCAGTCCCTTCCCTTCCCTAAAATCCTGACAAGGCGATGATTTTTTTTACCAAAATGATGCGATCTGAATCTTAATATTTGTATTATTCTATCAGGTTCATTTATTAATTCATTTATCAGAATTTGAGGGCTCCGTGGTGCAGTTGCTTAGCAAAGAGTAAAGAAAGTTCCAGTCTGCAGATTTGACCTTGTGCAATTGTTAATATGTAAATTGCTTCCACGACACAGAAGAAAATCCCGGTTTACGGTTCCAATTTCAAAAAAAAAAGACAAGTAAATGAATAAACTAAAAAGATGTGAACTATCTTTTATAAATATCCACCTGTGGTTTAAGTTAACCTCTATTTCATATTCAGTGAATTTATTTTTCTGTAATTCGAGAATACTTATTATATACATTGTGCAGAAAAAGTAGTTACAATCTAATAGGTCCCTTCGTTGAGCACAAGTTTTGTCGGCGTGGGACGTTGCTTTATAGCTCTTTCATTTTTGAGTGAAACAATGAGCAATTTATCTGCCAAGCTACTCCAGTCCATCTGTATTTTATTGAGGATTAACAAGAAGTTATTATTCTTGATGCACAACTAAGTTTCATTATTATATATTTGAAATGGAATACTTATATAATAAAGTAAAATAAGTATACAAATAACATCTACAATGGTAGATACATTGAGAATGTATATCTTAGATAAAAGCTTTATGTTACAGCTAGTTTAGCTGTTCCGTACTCTAAATCTGCTGCTTGCGTTAATCATTTCAAGAAAAAACTTAAGCTTTACTTGAATGAGTTTTAAAGTGCAGTGCTTGCAAAATTCCACTCACTATTTGTAACAATGATTATAAAACAACTTTTTTTTAAATATTTCATGAAATATTATTGCAAAACTTTTCTTTAGTGGACAGCTTACGACAGTATTCAGAAGTTGTCATCCATCCATTTAAAGTATGAAACTCCACTGCTGAACATAGAGCCTCCCCATGGATTGCCAACAGATGTTTCCATATTTGCCACGCTTATCAGATGGGTAGGCAAGCTGCTAGCACTATATTTTAAAAGATTTTATTGTTTATAACATTTTATCAGGAAGACGCTGATGCCCATCTTCTGTTTTATTGTACCTCTGTCGACACCCACGGAATGGTATAGGATAGTGAATATTTTTAAGCCACTAGTTTGTTTAGAATTATTCTTCTTTGGCAAGCCGTAAAGTACCCATGAAAGGGCCATTGTGGCACGGTTTGCCCTACTGCCGTGTTCGTTCGAAGTACTTCACGTGTGGGGTAAGCGAACAGGTTATACATTATTGAATTTCTCATAGCCTTTTACGAACAAATTAAAATTGGATAATGAATTCTCTAACACCATCACCACGCCGGATCTTCGTTTAAAATAGCTATGAATATGGGTGACCTTAGTTAGAAATTTCCTCGGAGATGATAACGCATCTGTAGCCTCCTTTGATATGAAATTGGTTGCAGGTGTCGTTGACATGACATAGAAACCTTTAATTTTTATTATGTTTTAAAAGTACAATAAGTTAGAGTATAATGGCCAAATATTAAGACGCTCGTGATGTTATAATCACATTTTAAAATTGAGCAGTGTGTATTTAGGCATAAAACACCGAAACCTTAGAACATATTTTTGAAAACAACTTCAAGAATTTAACGTAATTGAAAAAAATTAGAATCCAATGTTATGCACTTTTACGGCGAAAGGACGTGAATGCTTCTATTACAAAGGGTTTTACAAATTATGTTTTTGTGAAAAGGGGCAATAAAAACAAAGAACTTTAGTAAGACACACGAACAACGACAATACGACACGTGTTTCGCCTCTACACGAGGCATCCTCAGGTGATGCTGACTCTACGGCGGCTGACCGCTAAGAACTGCTGACTTACTGTTGAGGGCCTGCTGAGCATAGTTCTCCCCTTAGACTGTCTATATAGGGAATATTCGCCATAGTCATCACACTTGGTAAGCGGTTTGACAAATAAAATTTATTTTTATTTTGTAGCAGATATGCTGTTGGCCATTTACAGCCTAGCTATATCAGATAGAAGATATTCTTACACGTAAACGGATAATAATATAATGCGAAAAAACCATGATCAACATTTCCTTAAAGGATAGTTAAAGAAAAACAGTCATCTCACGGTAGATCACATGCACCATTATTGGCAGGTTCCTAGTTAAAGCGACCTATGTCTCCCCAGTGGCCATTGGTGCAATTCAAAAATACTTTGTTTACATGCCGTGCCAACTGTCACACGACATTTTTTTTATTCGTTAGAACGTGGTTAAGCGTAGCGTTTCAATTTGCAATTTATTTGTTTCAAAGTTGAATATAAGTGGTAAAACCCCACTACAGTAACATTATGATTGTAGCACGAATGGGTCGGCTCTACTGAGGTAGAACCACTCTCACGGAATACAAGTTTTTACCGGAAACGAGGCATTCCGTCTTAGTCCTCAGGGATAACAACACATCTGCATTTTGATTCTTAATAGAGCATATAATATTACGTAGATGTATATGGGTCACAGCATCCACTTACCATCAGATGGACTGTGTGCTCGTTTATCAACTTTATTCTATAAAAATCTGATTGTGT